AAAAATATTTGTTGGCTAAGTAAACTGTTTTAATTATCGAGACAGATACGTACATAGATGTCCTTAAATAATAATAATAATAATAATAATTAATAATAATAATAATAGTCATCATATAAATTAAACGATCCTTTGCTCTAATTATTTTTACAGCAAGCAGAGCGGCAAGTAGTAAAGGTGAGAATACCACGAAACGTCACAATTGCGAATTTCTTGTTCTTAGTTTTTTTTAATTTTTTTAATTTTTTTTTTTGTACGATTTCATAAATAACAATTTGCTCAAACATTTGACAATCACTTTTTCGATCTTATGCGATCACGCAAGGCATATAAAAAATACGAATGTTTCTTTTTTTCTTTTCTTTTTTTTTATTCAGTTTATTTAAGACCATCCTTCGTTTTATTTTTTATTTTTTTGATTACGCGAACGTTTACCTTGAATTTGAATGACCTTTTTAGTTTCATTATGGCATTAACTATCCTTGAATGTGCCGTGTGTTTACTAATCCAACAGGTAGCTATGACGGAAAACGGAAATTGGCAAGAAATTTCCCCTGAGGTAAGTGTACTATATTGATTTGTTATATTCTCTTTCTCTTTCTTACACTCTTTTTCTTATTTAGCCAGTTGGTTTCTCCATTTTTTCCTCTTTCTTAAATAATAAAATAATACTTCAATTAAATAGAATTTAATATGCCTAATTATCTAATGTCGTATGAATTATTTCAGCATGGAGGGAAGGACACAAGTGTAACATCAGGACCAGAAAGTACACCAAATTCCTCTAATTCAGAAGGTAAATATTTAATAAAAATATAACTTTTGAATATTTCATGCAATGTGATTTAATTTATTAATGATATTGGTAATTTATTATTGATATTAATTTATTTGGTAATAGTACTGAATTATTAAAACTTTCCTAAATAAATTGGAATTACTATACACTTAATTCTGTTTTTGTATATGAAAGATAAATAAAAAAAATTGATAGATAAAAAATATATTATTATGTAATATAAATATAATAAATATAATATAATAAAAATATATTATAATATAAAAAATATGTGTATCTATATATATATATATATAATAATAATAATAATAATATTCTAATATTATAATATAATATTATTATTTATATTTTATTATTAAAATTTTAGTATTAAAAATAATATTATTAATTATAATTTTTATTAATTATAATATTAAAATAATTTTAATAATAATATTATAATAATTATAATAATAATAATAATATATATATTCTTATAATTATAATAAATATAATATATATTATATTTTTTTCTATATATATATATATATATAAATAGAAAATTACTTTTTATTTAATTAAAAATCAGATGAAGTAAACCTAGTAAACTAAAAATTATTTTCTTAAAAATTAAATCGATCGTGTTAATTCCAAAATTGTTTTCAAGATAAAACAGGTTTCATGTACAAACAAAACTATTGGTGTATTTTAATTTCACAGATTTATAATATTTATGTGTAAAAATTTGTGTTTGAGAAAAAAAAATCTATCTCCTATGAAAATTTGTTGTAAAAATTTGTTGTGTTTCAATTTTTACAGAAAGAGGAAGAACGAGAAGAAAACGAAGAGACTTTTTCGGTACTATAAAAAAACGTTTAAGTCGATCAAAAACAAGAAGTAGATCGGTTGGTCCTGAAGGAGACACCAATCACGAGGATGCACATTCAAGGTCGATATCCGCTGACAGAGCACGAGATCCTGGATCAGGTAAGCTTTCATTTTTATCATATTATTTTGAACCTAATTCTATTAAATTAAACAAACATGTAGTTTGAATTAAATGTAAATGTAGGCACAGTATTATTTACACATCTGTATTCTCATTGAAATTCATTGCTTGAAAAGTTGCGTTGATTGTGATATCAATGTTTAATTGTCATTGTTGAAAAAAAAAAACAAAAGAAAAAATACATTTCCAACTATATTTCCACCCGTTTATTTTTTTTTTCTTCTTCTTCTATTAACTCACAATTTCACCCTCTCTCTGTCCTGCTTGCGTAACCGTTGCGTTAATGGCACTCACAATGTTGGTAAGTTTTCTCCTTCATTATTGAACATCAGAAGAAAACTTCATTATTTGTGTGCACTGTGTAAACTGTAATTATAGTAATTCTTAGTAAAACCCCTTGGAACTTTTTCAATTAGACCATAACTGTGAAATAGACGATACCCTTTAAAAATATATGTGTTGAGTTATCAACCACCATTCCAATTCCCGCTTCGTAGTTTCCAATTCCACCCATGTCCAAGAGTGAAAATTCATTTTTACAGCACATTTGTCAATACCAGGAAGAGAAGAACATTCGAGGAGATCTAGTTTGAGCGAAGCATCCGGTATCAGCGGAACTTCTACGAGAACATACGTTAATGAGGCCTCCACCCTTGTTTTAGAAACCCTGGAAAATGGTATCAAAAAGTTAGTATTTTTATTTCTATTTATTTCATCGATATTTTATTAAATAAATGATCGATATATATATATTTGAATATTGTATTTAGCATAAATACTATCGACGATATTTATATTACATTATTTAAATATATTTTTTTTTGTTATTTATATTTATTATAATATTATTTATTTATTATTATAATTTTTATACATTATATTTTTTATATTATTATTATTATTATTATTATTATTATTATATAATTTTTATTATATAATATTAATATTAATATTATAATGATAAAATTATATATTTATTATATATTTATTATTATATTATAAATATAATATAGTAATAAAATTAATATTAATAATATATAATAAAAATTATAATATATTATAATATTTATTTACATTATTTATTAATTTATTTAAAATATACATCAAAACATACAATAAAACGTTTCATTCAAATAATTACATCAGTACTAATAATGTTTCATTTTCAGACATTACTTGGTTCCATTATCATTAGCACAAAAAAGCAAATGGAGGAAAAAGGGCACGAAATTACATATATTCAACGATCACACCTTCATCGCAAAACACATGGCAGGGTAAATGTTTTTAGATGTATATTCAACTTATAATATAATTAAGATAAAATATACAATTATTTATTAATCACAATAATATTTAATGTTGTTAGAGGTACGGTGTGTGAAGTGTGTAAACGAACGTTAGCTCGAAGATTAGGCAAACAAGGATACGAGTGTAGGGATTGTCAAATGAAGTGTCATAAACACTGTCATGTTAAAGTTGACACGACGTGTCCTACGTCAACTATACAAAGCATCGAATTGTAAGTACTACGAATATTTTTTTTAAATTGTATTTTTCTTCATTCTTTTATTTATTTTTTTTTATTAACAAATACATCTCCTTTTCTGTTCCTTATTCTATTTCATTGAAAATATAGTTACATGGGTATATATATATATATATGTGCATGTGAACATTTCTATAAATGATTAATAATAATATTCAATGAATATTTCTTAATACTCTGCTTTTTTTCTTTTGACCTTTCTCGTATAAGGTCCCTACTGCCAGTACTGAGCGAATAATAAGATAGGTAAGCCATAGTAAACCAAAAAAAAAAAAAACAAAATAAATGAGATTGACAACCTTTTCTCTACGAATGTGTGTTTTAAATTTCATCATGCATGTGATGAAAAAAAGAAATATATTTACCCTTTTTACCCTTTTTTATATAAAATGTGAAGATTCTTTTGATGAGTTGGTGATGGTATCAATGCACATTACATTTATAGTTGATTTTTATTTTTTCACGCTAGTCTTTTAGAGAGATAGAGAGAGATAGATATTACTTTTTATTATTTCTTATAAATTTTTAGAATTTTATTCTTTGAGCTTCGTACGTCACAAATTGAAAACATTTTCTTCCTGCTATTGGGTGAAAATAATTATTTGCATGTACAATTTGGTAATAAACAAATTGTTAAAATATTTTCGCTTGATTTCCCTTTGTTTTTATTGACACTTTTTATTTATAAAGAAAAAAAGCAGAATAATTTATTTGTTTATTTTGTTTAGGACTTACATAAGGGTTCCACAACTTGAAAGGAAATCATCGATGCGTTTATGCTGATCTGGGGACTTCTATTTATTTCTACACATTAGTGTGTGGTCTTTTTATTAACAATTAAATACAAATTGGTAGGATGAACAAAACAAAAGAAGAAGAAGAAGAAGAAGAATAAGAAGAAGATAAAGAAGAAAAATAAAAAAAACGTAACGAAGTTGACAAACGTGCGAAATGAAAGTAAATGAAAAATAATTCTCAAAAAAAAGAAAAAAAAACAACTTATTAAATGAGTTTTACACGGTACTTACTTACGAACAGATGATTTAATTGAGCTCTGTCGATAAAGTAGATATTTAAACGAAATCATTTTTTCCCTCTACCACCAGCAATTTTGAAAAAACTGCTTAGCTCTAAAAAAAAAAAAAAAAAAAACACTTCACTTTTGGATGAAATTTCTCTCGGAATTTTAAGCAAAAAAATAATGAAAACGATTATACAAAATGACAGGGAAATGCAACAGTTTATTTAAAAAAAAAAAATTAATCAAAATGATGAAAGAAAATCAAAAAGAGAAAGAGAGAGAGAGAGAGAGAGAGAGAGAGAGAATAAGCGAGTTAAGAAGAAAATTGTCCTACTGCTCAAAACTTCTTCCAATGATTTATGTTCTCATCGTTAAAAAATATGAATCATGTTCTCTTAAAGTACTGACATATACGATTTACACGTACGGATTATTCTAAAGAATAAGGAAAATAATTCTATTATTAATTTTATCTTTTTGTTTTTTTTGTTTCGTTTTCTTTTTCCGCATATTTTTATTCAAATATTATTCTTTTAATTTTAATAATAATAATAATAATAATAATAATAATAATAAAAAAAAAAGAAAATTAAAACAATTGTCATCTCGAAAAATTATCATAAAATAGTGCTGCTGTAATTACGTGGCAATAGATTGACAAGTGAAAAACAAAATTGTAAAAATATATTTTACAATTTATTTTATACGAAAAAAAAAAAAACAAAAAAAAAGAACAAAAAAAGATGTGATTATTTAATTTTATAAAATAAATTGTAAAATAAATTAGTATAATTTTGTTAACTATCAAATTATTATATCATAATTAGCAGACACATATATATATATATATATATATATATATATATATATATATGTTATATGCTCATATGAAATCGACTTATGTAATACATTTTTACGAATGAAACATTTTCGAAATGATTGCACGATGAAAAAAAAATACGACAAAAACAATATTAAAAAAATACACCTATAAACGTATAAGTATAATACGTGTATACGTGTATGAATATATAAATATATAAATATAAAAATATTAAAGATCAAGACTTCTCAAAAACTTTTCTACTTGTCGAACAAACATTATCTAACGATCCTGAGTACAATTTTTCGTACTATCTTTTATTTAACTATCTAACTAAACTCACGAAAATATTACCAAACTTAGGGTTGTTTGTAATTGATGATTTTCAATTCATTTATGAGTCGAAATATTTTTTCGTTTTTATGAGAGGTCCCAAATTTAGATAGATAGTAAGAAATGGAAGAATCGTGTGTTTAGAATTCATGAAATAGTTTAATTACGGAGATACAAAAGAATCCATTTGGAAGATGGAAGATGAAAAAGAGAGAGAGAGAGAGAGAGAGAGAGAGATAAAGAGAAAAGGTAGAACTTATTGTTATAAATAGAAACAGTCGAATTTTTTATAAATCTTGAATCAAGCCAAAGATACACGCTCGTTAGCCTTATAGTAATCTTTAGGAATAAAACTCGAGCACGGGTAGCACAAAAATATTTCTATGTATGCGTACTCTTATGTACTTATATACTTAAACACCTGCAAATATATATATATATATATATACACAAACACACACATATACACATATAATAAAAAGAGCGAGAGAGAGAGAGAGAGAGAGAGAGAGAGACACGCACACAAAATCAAATTCGCATGTATGCCATTGGAAACAAATTGACAAAAAAATAAGCAACAAATATTGCAATACGCGGTACGTTTCGTACGCATTGTTATTATTATTAATTTTTGTTTTTTTATTATTATTATTATTATTATTATTATTATTTTAATTATTGTATCGCGAGAGACATATGAATTATTATTATTATTAAACAAATCTAGCTTAATTATAGCTGATATATATGATATATTAATGATATATAATATTTATAAATTATAACAAATGAAAAGATATTATTAAATATATAAATATATATTATTATATTATAATAATAAAATACGGCTTTTACGTGCTCGATCTTGAGAAACGTTGAAAGTTCGACGAAAGTTTTATCTCTCTCTTTTTCTCTTGAACTATATATATATATATATTATTATATCGAGGATGTTGTTTCTAGTCTTCATAATCTAATTTGGTTTTTTTTTTTTTTTTCTTTTAAATGATTATCTCTAACTCGTTGTATTATTTCGTTGTGTCAACGAGAACAATCGATTAATTAAATTATTAATCAAACTAAACTACTTTTCTTTTTTCTTTTTTCTTTTATATATATATATATATATATATGTATATGCATATGTATATGTATATGTATACTGCAATATACATATATATGTGTATTGATATATTTATATTCTATATATATATCGTGGATATTGCTTCTAGTCTTCATCTACATTTGTTTTAATTTCCTTTTGTTTTATCTTATGTATGAATAATAATTTAAACAAGTTTTGATTATTTTGTTATGAGTCAACGACGACAGCCAATCGAATTAAATTATAAGGTAAAAATCAAAACTAGTTATCATATTTTGTTGTTCTTTTTTCTACAGAGTTGTCCGAATGTCATTAGATCGATATTTCGCGTGTTTAAAATTCATATTTACATTTTTATAAACAACTGAATATAATTGTTAGAAGTTGTTTTGAATTAGTTATTGTTCAGTGACTTTTGGGTCATCTACCTTTCTCTATAATTTTATTTAACTTTCTCGAAATATATATATATATATATAGATATACGTACCAATATTTATTTATTTATTTATTTGATATTGTTTGAAAAAGTTTAATTAATTTCATTTTTCGTACGAACTTTTCATTAATTTGGTTTTATCGATACTTGACTTTAATTCAATTCTTGAAATTAGTTTACGTTATAGTAAAAGATACTTCCTACGTGATTTAAAAGATTGTATTTTTTTTTTTTTTTAATATTTCTTATTTGTTAAATTTGTTCTTTTTTTCTTTTTTTTTTTTTTATTACGGTGCAAACGAGAAAAGAAAATTATGATTTAACGTTGATAAAAATAACGTCCTACTTTATAGTAATTTAAATGAAAGAAACTTATTAAAAGAAAAATATAGATTAAGTAAACATCTGAGATTCTTTTTACTACAAGATATTATGACATTTCTTTTGTATATATTCATTTACAATGAAATTTGATTTAATTGCAATTTTATTATAATTGTCGTTGCTTATTTTATAGTTTGTTTCAATTTAATACAAGTTTTATTATCTTGTTTACTAATATTCATTGTTTTATATTTTATTTGTACAATTATATTTTTGTTTCTTATACCATTATTACACCATACATTCACCATGTAAAAAGAGTATCAAGTGTTACGCACAAATACAGGAAATAAACGAAATTGCAATTTTTAACTTTAATTTGCATCGTATCTATCACAAAGTACGTAATATTCATTTTCATATAAATCAAAAAGATTACTTAGTTATTTTAAGTTAAATTACTATTGAAAATAGTCTTTTAAATGTGAATTTTTTAATATATAAAAAAAAAAAAAAAATACCAATCAAATATCGTCATTGACAAGAAATATTTGATCAAGCAAAATAATAGAAATGAAATGTTTACTGGTTATTCACAATTTGGAATTTTTTTTTTACATGACAGTAACAATCATGCACACAGATTATTCCAATTGCGAATAGAAATGAATTTCATTTAGAATCGGAGGCTGTGAATATTGTTCAGGATGAAATTATTATTATAATAACAATGCCTCTTAATAATTATCCAATTAAAAATCTTCAACATTTTCTAATAAGCAAACTAAAAAATTTGTTTAATCGATTCGAAGGGATAAGAAGTTAAAAAAATACACAGCACAAAATCAATGAAAATGATGTAACACCAAAAAAAAAAAAATGATCAATGCTTTTATTTATTATTATTACACAAATGTATAATCCACGCAATTATAATGATTAAAATCAAACGGGCACGTTCAATCTCGATCTTCATAAACGTATATTAATCTAATTACAAATATTTACATAAATAAATTACACATATACAAGTTTAAAAATTAGGTTTCATTTTTCGTTCGGATGATTGTTAAAAAAAAAAAAAATTACGAACGAGACCATAACTCTGAGTTTCTTTCCAACGAAATATATATATATATATATATACATATATATTAAAAAAAAAAAAAAAGAAAAGAAAAAGAAATAAAATAACAGAAAAAAAAATAAGATAAAAAAGAAAGAAAGAAAGGAAGGAAGAAAAAAAAAGAAATAAAGAAGAAGAAAAAAAAAATTAAACGAACAAACGTCAGATCGATTATTTAAATAAGGGCGGATAAATTTAATTCTAATCAAATGCAAATAGTTTAAGAGAGAAGAAAATTCAAAAACGATTACTATAGTGCCTAAACAATGAATGTTACTATTGTTAAAATAATAATATTATACGTTTTGTCATATAGAAGATGCTTTTATTTATAGATTTCAATATTTCCAATTGTTCTTGCTAAAAAAAAAAAAAAAAAGCTTTATCGTCGATCAAATATTTATCCGGGTACGCAAAATGCCGTGGGGATATTTCTACGAAACAAAAAACAAAATAAAAAAAAAAAGAAATATGCAAAACAATTTACGATAATTATACGCATTATCCTTTTATAATAATAATAATAATAATAATAATAATAATAATAATAATAATAATAATAATAATAATAATAATAATAATAATAATAATAATAATAATAANTTTTATAATAATAATAATAATAATAATAATAATAATAATAATAATAATAATAATAATAATAATAATAATAATAATAATAATAATAATAATAATATAAAGATGACGACAAAACAATAATGGATAAGTGCAAATTTATTCGGAAGTATGTGAGAACTATCGAAAATTTTTCAACAATTTTTCCGATAATCCAAAATTGTTTCTTAACTTTTTAGAACTTTTAATTCGAAATTTTCGACTTCTCGCACACTTTTATAATTATAATAATAATAATAATAATAATAATAATAATAATAATAATAATAATAATAATAATTATTATTATTATTATTATTATTATTATTATTATTATGAGTATTCTCGCAATAAGGATAAAGAAATATTCTGTAACATTAAGAAAAATAATATATGATGATCTACACACCGTTAAAAAAAAAAAAAAATCTCATTGGTATTTTTTACTCGTAGAATAATGAATGAAAGAAATTA